AATCATTTTGAAGTTGTCCTTTATTATTAATTCCATTAGAATTAACAGTGTCAAGTGGCATCATCAAATTAACTTCAGTTGCTGAGGCAAGTGAAAGAATTGCAATTAATGCAATCATCAATATAATATCTTTCAGTTCTTTTTTGTTTATAAATACCTTCGTTATCTAATTTTAAAATAAATGAACTTAAAAATAAAGTGGAAGGATAAATACTTAATGAGATACTATAGTTATAACTTTTTTACTAAGAAAAAAAATTTATCTTCAAATTCATATTAAAATAACAAAAACAATTATAAAAAAGTTGAAAAGTTAAGTCAAATGGAAAAAGAATATGTCATGGAAAAATGTGATATAAATTCTAAAAAAATCACCAATTCAAAAAACTGATATTAAGAAAGAGATAATTTACGAAACGAAAAGCTAACCACTTAAAAACCTTTATAATTGAGAAATAGAAATGACGGTCCAAATACGAAAGAATGAATAAATTTTTTAATAGAGCACATACTATTGTTAATACATTTAAACAGAATACATTGAATTTTATTTCATTGTGGACTGTTGTTTTTGGATTTTTTACTTCTTTTATTTCACAAAATTTCAGAGTTGTCTGGGTTTGTTATATCTATCAAATGGCATTGATTGTGTTTGGAATCCTTTATCAATACACTCCAAAGATATTAAAACCAATTGAAGATTTGATCAAAATGTTTAATTGCTTCTTACTTACATTAGGTTTAGCATTTAATTTTATTTCAACTACAGAAATGATAAAGACTATTCGTTCAACATTCTTTGATCAATTTCTTGTTTCTCTTGACTCTTTTTTATTCCCTCATTTTTCTAAAGGTCAAATTTCGTTAATGGTTGATTCAAGTAAATATTTTAATCCAACTACATTTCATGGGAAATTATTAAATGATTATTTTGAATTGATTTATATCACCTTCTATATTTGGGGATATCTTTCATTTGGAGTTTGTTGTTTCGAAATAATTATAGAATGGTGGAAAGAAAGAAATGGACAAATTAACCTAACACACAAGATATCAAAAAAAAGTCGGTATATAGAAATGGAATATCTTGTTATTTGTTGGTCATGTACATTTTCATTAATTTTCCTTATTAATATTATTGTTCCTGGAAAAAGTCCACGATTATATTTGCAGTCTCATTATACTCATTCAATTCAAGGTTTTGGATTTTCTTCTTGGTGGAGAAATCATGTTGATAGAGATGATTCATCTGGAACATTTCCTTCTGGACATTGTGGTGAAACATTAGCAGTTGCTTTTGGTATTTACTATTCTCATAAAACGATTGGGAAAATTGTTTTTGTCATGACATTCCTTATTTGTGTTTCAACAATATGGAATAGATATCATTACTTATCTGATTTGATTATGGGTATTTTGTGTTCATTATTTGGTTATATAATAGCAAATCTTCATCTTAAAAAAAGAAGTTTGTAATTCCTGTTTATAAATATTTTTGTTAAAAGTAATTCATTATCTTTGTTATTTTTTATCGTTTTTCGTTAATACATTCAATTATGTAGATTCATAAAGTTTAAATTTAAAGAGAGGTTCAGATTCATTATTATTTTCAGTCTGGGACTTTTATTCCTTATTTTCAGCTTTACTAAACCAATACTATACTTTTTTGTTATGTGTTTGGAAACTCTTTTAAAGTAAGCCAGACTTGAGGAAATAGATTTAATTTCTTAAGGATTGTTTTTAAGAGGATTGAACCAAATATTGTTATTTGTTAGTATAGAAAATAGAATAACTGAGTGAATAGAATTGGTTTTGATACTGAGGTTTGTTGTTAGAAAAAAGAAATTTTATAAATAAAATATTTCGTTTGTTTGATAAGAATATTTATTTGACAGTATTGCCTAAAACAGAAAAATAACTTCTAAAATAGAAAATGTGGATTAAATATAAAGTTATTTTGAGTATAATATGAATTTGTTGAGGTCATAAGAACTGTAGAAATGGGTGGTGAATAATTGTTGATTGGTTTTTGAGAGCAGTCTAATGTATCTCCATCACCAATTCCAATGTCTTCAAATGATAGTTTTAAAGACAGAACAACTCCATTATAAAACAATATATATTGACTCAATAATAAATGATTTTTATTAAATACATGTTCAATTCCTTTTCTAATAGTGTCACTTGGATTAACCTTTATATTAATTTCAGTTGAGTCTAACAATAACTTAATTCTGATCATGAACTATGCTTTATAAATTGAGACTTTTTCAGTTTTTTTTCTGATGTTTTCTTCAATACTCAAATAAAAATGGTTTTCTTTTTTTGGATTGGAACTTCAAATTTTTGTATTTCAAAATACTAATTCCATTTACAAAAATCAAAAATTAAATAATTTTTCCTTTAATATATTCACGAAACTTAAAAATATATTACAGTTCAAGGACGTAACAATTTAAAAGAAAACTGTTTAATTATCGCAAAACCAAACAATAAAAAGATTAGTTTAATAAATAAACAACTTAAGACTATAACTTCTTTTATACTTCAAGACATCAATTAATAAAAAGATTTAATTAACTTTCTTTAATGAAAAAAGAAATAAGTCTTGATGAAATAAATCAGTTAAATTAAATCCTTGTCTATTGTTAAAACTAGATTTACCTGACATAGTTAAAAGTAACAAAAAAACATCAAGAAATGGTGGTAGATTAGAATATCTATCAATTAAATAAATTCAAGTTACTATACAACATGTAAAAAGTTATAATTATAATATAAATAATTTCTTGATTTAGTCTTTTTACTATTGTTTATTTATGTGTTTATATACCTAATGAAAATGGGGATAAATTAAAAGGATTTAATAAATTCTATTTATCCAAAAGATGACCAATAATAAAACAATACATATATTTAAGTTAGTTACTATAAATAATATATGTTTGAAAAGAAATTTCAGTTATTTAAATGAGAGAAAGAATGACAGATAGATATGTAAAAATGTATTATGTTATAATAAAACAAATAAAAAAATACCGTACTAAATAGGAAGAAACAAATAAATTTAAGAAAGATACAAAAAAAACAGTTAAAGTAATAGTTGATGTTAAACTGTTGTAATTGTCCTTATCACATTATATACTTTATTACAGTTTTATAATTTATAAACGAAAGTTAAATATTAGAATAAAACATAAAAAATAAAATAACAATTTTAATTAATTTAAAGGATATATTTCTTTTTCTAGCATCATTATAATATCATCTATTCTTATTCGTTCTTTTGGTTCTTGTTTCCATGACTGTTCAATAATTTCTTTAATACTATCTTCTACTTCATTAATTAATACTGGTCTTTTACCTGATGTGACTGTATTTGCAATATCCCATGGATGTGGGTATAACTCTTTAGGGAAAGAGTCTTTCCACGTAATAATTTCTAGCATTGTAATTGCAAATGAATAAATATCAGCTGGCATTTTGTAATGTTTTCTGTTCAATATTTCTGGAGCCATAAAAATAGGAGTTCCAACTGCTTTTGTGAATGTCATATTTGTCATCATCATATTAATATTTCTTGAAGAACCAAAGTCTGTTAATTTTGCATTAATTGTTGCTGGGTATTCAAGAGAGAATAATAATAAGTTATCAGGTTTAATATCTCTATGAATAATCCCATTATTGTGTAGATAAGATATTCCTTTTGCAGCATCAATTAAAACTTTTATTTTTAATTTCCTATTGAATGGTTTTTCTTTATATTTTTTCTTATAATCATTTACTGATCCATATTTTGCAAATTCAGTTACCATACAAACCTTAGTAGGAATAAGTACTGCTCCATAGAAATGAACAATATATTCTGACCTAAATTTGTCTAACATTTCTACTTCTTTTAAAAACTCAAACATTGAACTTTCTTTATTTTCTACTTGTTTCATTTTCTTAATAGCAACTTCATTTCCTCTGAATTTTCCTTTAAAAACAATACCAAAACCACCTTCTCCAATTTTTTCTTCTTCTTTTACTTCGTCATAATCAAGTATAGTAGAAATTTGTGTTTTAACAATTAGTCTTAGATTGATACATTGGTTTTTACCAGTTTTTAATTCATGAACCATAATTATTAAATCCTCTTCAATAAAACAACTACACTTAGGGATAATACATATTTTAAATGGACATGCAACTCCTTTTCTGATTATTAAATTTGATGGATTTGTTTCAAGTGTGAATTTATCATTTGTTCCTTCTTTCAATGAAAATAGAATTTTTATAGGTGATTTTCCAAGATTTCCAATGACAATAGTGTCAATAGACTTTTCATTAACTGGAATTTCAATTATATCCTCATTCACAAAATCAATAACAGTTTTATTTACTAAAACACTACCAAAACTAATGAATGAAAGGTTTGACTTTGCAATAGAGAATATATTTAATTGTTTCTCAATATCTCTTAGTTTTAAATATTTTAATAACCATTTACTTAACAAATAAACTCCAAGCAAAACACTTATAAGTAAAACTATTACTAAAACTATAATCCCAACTATAAATCTTGCAGGGATATATCTTAAACAAGCATTTCCTTGTTTATTTGGTTTATTCCAACCAGAACATTTTAAACATTTAGAATTTTTTGCTTCTTTACAATTACTAATTTGAGAATAAATAATACATTGTCCAATAGAATATACATATTTCTCTTTACAAGTTAAACACTTATTAGGCTCTGTACAAATTTGACATCCAGAAGAACATGGAGAACACATTTTGTCTTTAACAAAATATCCATCTTTACATTTAGTGCATCCATTCCATTTATTAATAACAGAATCACAATTGGTTATGATGTTATTTGAAACACAATTATTTGATGTATCAAAAAAATAATTGTCAATACATTCATTACACATATCTAAATTTCTACAACTCAGGCATGAAGAATTACATTTTAAACAATTAAAACCAACAGCATACCATTGATTAGCACATTTGACACATCCTCCATCTACTGTATATTGAAGACAAACATCTTTCAGGTTTGAATTATACTCACAATAATGTGTTGTTGAATTTATAAAATAACCAATAGAACTACACTCAATACATTGAACACTACTTCCAATACAAGTTTTACATTTTGGATCACACTTATTACATGTGTTATTGTTGAGATATAAACCATCCTCACAACGAAGACAAAATTCATTATAAAAGGTTTTACAACCTAAAATTGTTCCACCACAAACTCCATTGACAAGTAATTTTGTTTTACAAGCTATACATTCTCCATTTGTATTATATGCATAACAATCTTCATGATAATTAGAAATACAATCTGTTCCATTGTTAAAATCTTCATTATTAACACAAGTAATACACTTATTCCAACTAATTGATTTACACTTATTAGAATATCTACATTTACCATTAATGTCCAGAACATTATTGTTTTTACATTTGAGGCAATTTGTAGTATTACATATTTCACAATTACCAAATAATAAAGAACATTCAACACATTTATTTTCATTTGGATAATAACCAATATCACATTCTAATATACCACTATTTACAGTAACTATTGCATGTTCATCTTTATAGCATTGATAATCATTTTGTCTAGAAGTAGAATTATAACACATATCACAAACACTATTATTATATTTTTTATTATAATAACAATGAGAACATGTTAAATCACACGCCTCACAAGTCATTAAATTAGTCTGATATTTTCCATTAGAACATCTCATACACTTTTCATTATGGAATAATAAACAATTATCAATAGAAGAAATAACACATTTTCTATGTGATAATGTATAATTATCTGTACAGGCAATACTATCATCATTCCAACAAACTCTTGCATTTTTATCAGAACAATGTAAACAACTTATTAAATTATTTGAGACATAATATCCTTCTTCACAAGTTTTGCAATACCCATTATATGAATTAGTACAATGTTCAATTGGCATTATTTTTATACACTTTTTTGTTTCTAAGTCAAAATGAAAATTATTATATTCACAAATAGCACATTTGGATACTCCACCATTAATTATATAAACTTGACAGCTTCCTTCAGAATGAAAATTAAGGGAATACTCCCCATCCTCATTGGAATTAACTGTTTTTAAAGTAATATGATTATGGCAAATAATTACAGCCTCAGATATTCTGAGAATGTTAATAGAATAACTAGTTTTAGATTCTGATATAAGTATAATCTTATTTTCATTAGCTTCTAACTTCATTGGCCTTCTTGAAAAAATAGTAACAAGTCCTTTATTCCCTTCAGGTAATTGAATGGTAAGTATTGAAGAACTATCTTCTGTTTCAATTATCATTTCAGAAATTATTCCACAACCAAATTCTTTAATATTTAAATATAGTACATCTTTTCCTATAACAAGATGTTTATCACAATTATGTATCTTTTCAATAGTTACTTGAGTATTAGTTACTTTAAAAGAACTTTTAACATCAACCTCACCAATATTTGTTCCTGTGAATGTAAATTGACCAGCTTCATTTATTATTTTAATATTAGAATTTATAGAAGTAAGAGTAAAGTTAGATGTTATTGTAATGATTGAAGAATCAGTATTAATGTCTAATGAATACAAAGAAAGTATGTTATTGATTGAAAATACTGGATTAGATACCTTAAGAATGAAATCAAATTCTTCTCCATGAAAATCAATATTTTCAATTCCTTCTTTTGTAACAATAATACAAGAATTTCCAGAACAAGGACAATGAGGTAAAGTAAATAAAGAAGGAGAATGATAATTTAAATCAAATAATGTTGAATTCATTATACATTGGACTGAATAATTAAATGAAGATGGACAATAACGAATTAATCTATTATTTGAAAGTAGTTTGATATGTTCTGTTTCATTCATAGAAAATGAAGATGATGGTATTGTACTAATAAGATCAACACAATTTGAGCTTTGTACTGATGAAAGGATTAATTGATACTGTTTATTTTTACCTATTAATGTAAGAGGTGGAAGAGTATTAATTTGAAAAGAGTCTACAATGATAATAGAAGAAAATAAATCAAAATAACCATCAGCTTGAATATTATTTTGAAGATTAATAATACCAGATGTCATTGTAAATCCTTTAATAACAGCTGATTTAATAATAAGTTCTTTGAAACTGATTGTACCAATTACAGTTGTATCTCCATAAATATTCTCAAATGTATTTATTACAAAAATACTTGGATTAATTTGTTCTAATATTCCAGTTCCATTATTAACAAGAGAACCAATAGTGAGTTGAGATGATTCTTTAGAAAGAATCTTTTCCCAATTCCCAAATTTTGTATAAAACTTTTGAATATTAAATACTCCATTTCCTTTAAATGTAATAGTTTTCATCTTATTCTGAAATGTCATTATAGTCAAATTATGACCAGTTCCAATCAGAACAAAAGTATCTATACCATCAAAATTATAATTATTGACAATTAAATCTTGTTCAATAATGTTTTCAGTTAATCCAGTAATGATATAGTCATAAATAATATTGAGAGAATAATGACCTCGATCAATTGTATCGTCAACATTTACAATACACTTTGAATCATTATAACTAAGTGATGAGTTGTGACATATGTATCTCTTAGTAAAACTAAAACAATTAACTCTTGACTCTAATAAATTACTATCATTCAAATAGAGTATGTCTTCTGTAATTTCTGAAGAAGCAGAAGAATAAAAAATGCACCTCAAATCTTTTTGGACATAAGAAGAAGGTATAATATGCATTTTATGAATTGTAACAGTAAGAAGAGGTTTAGGTTCTTGTAAATAAAATGGAAGATAAATGTCAAATTTATTGTCTGGTTTTTCATTTTCATTGATAATAACAAAATATGAGTTAGTGTCTTTAAGTATAAAATTAAAACCTTCATGTCCTAAAGCAAAAACATCATCATATCTTCTAAATAATATTTGTACATCTGTTTTAGAATATGATTGATTAAATGTAATTGTTGGTATTGAATTAGTTGTGAGACTCCATTTAGTAATTAAAAATTTAGTAACGTTATATCCTTGAATTGGAGCAATAAGAAGGTCTCTGTTAAGGTTTTGAGTAAAAATATTTGGTACTTTTGGTGAATTAACATCAATAACATTATTAACTAAATTAATCCCCAAATCATTGCAATAACTATCCCAGTTATAATTACTATCATCAATCCACAGATCTTCTTGTGACATCCAACAACCACCAATACATGTACTAATAAAAAGAAAGAAAGCTACAAATAATAACATTAAAAATTGAAATGACAGTTTTTTTTTAATTATTTAATTATTACTTTAAATCAGAAAAATAAAGATAATACCAAATTAAATTCATTGATTCTTGTTTCTTTTTCAATTCTTATGAAATACAACAAAACAAAAAGATAAAATAAACTATTCTTTTAATAATTTCAATAGATTGAATAACTTCTATTTAACAAAAAAATTATAATAGTATTACTATAAATTAGCTATATTTACAAATGAAAAAAATTAATAAATGAAAATTAGTAATAAATACTCAAAATATCTCAAAATTTTAAAAAAAAAACAATAGTTAGTTTAAATAAACTGTGAGAGAAAATGAATCTTCTTCAAATGGTATTTTATTTTTTATTAAATATAATTGCATTTTATCTTTTATTACAGAAAATCCTCGTCTTGAACTATGTTTTCCTACTCCAGTAATAAACCTAACTTTACCAATTCCAGTAATTCCACTTGTATCTAAAACTTGTCGAAGAGCATTAATAGCTTCAGTTTCACTAAAACCATGTAAATCAATTTCAAGACATTTTGATAAATGGTCACCAGTCTTTCTTAGAAGAATACTTAAGTACAAATTCATTACATTTTGTTGTTTAAATTGAATCTCTCTAATAATTTCATTTAATCGTTTTTTTAAATCATTTGCATTTGAACTTCCTCTTGGGGCTAATGATAATTGATGTGCATAAATATTTCTTTCTTTTGCAAGATTAATAATTTCATTATTTGTACGTTTAACAAATTGTTCTTCTGATTCTCCACGACGCATATCAGTTATTTTTGGTAATGAAGGCGTTTTATAAGATTGTTCTTGATCATCAGTTTCGGTGTTTGTTGTATCCGAAATTAATCCAAATTTCATTTTTAAATCATCTCTTCCATCAGTGAGAACATAAAGAATAAGTTCTATATTACCATCTAACTCTTTATATAAATTTTTTATATCTTCTTCATCAACTATTCCTTTTAATAGGTCTATTAAATATGATAGTTTTAATTTATCTGATGAAGACAATGAACTTTGTTCTTGTGAAAAAGAAGAGTTATTAGACTCTTCAAGAACAATTTGACTTAATGTATGACCAAATTCCCCTTCAATAGATTTAGGGTGTTGCATATCATATGAATATTTTTGCCATTTCTTTAAACTAATTTCATTTGGAGATAATTGTTTTGGTTGTTTTTTTTGGTACATTGAAGGAACGTAATTTGCTTGTTGAATAATAAGTGCTTCAGCAGTTTTATTTACATCAAGTTGATTTTCTTCTAATAACATTTCTAAAAGTCCGCTATCTATTTGAGGAAACATATTTTCAAGTTCAGATAATCTTCTTAATTTTAATGGAATTTTTTCTTTTTTTGGTTTACTTTTTGATGGGATTGGTGGTGGTAAGTTTTCAATATACTCATCTAATTCATCTAACTGATAAGTCTTTTTTCCTTTTTGTTTTATTGTATATTTAGGTGGCATTTAATATTTGAACAAATTGTCTTATTAAAAGATTTTTAGAGATTATTCTTTTTTTTTCTTTGTTTTATTTAATAATACAAAGGAATAACATAAATATTTTTTGAAGAAAATTTCAGATTATTGTTGGATTGAGTTAAAACTTGAAATTACACGGATTTTGGAAAATATACAAAAATAAATTGAAATGTTCTATAAAATTCACAAAAAGTCATAAAAATGAAATTTTATATTTAAAAAAAAATGTTTCTTCATCACTTGAAATAATTTGGGTTTAAAATACAGTTTGAAAAGAATGTTTTCAAATAAAGTCGGTTGTAGATATTTAGAAATAAAATGAGACAAGAAGAAAAGAAATATTAAAAAATAAGAAAAGAATAATAAAGAAATAATGGTTAAAACAAGACAATTTTTATTTTTTATTAAAGAAGAAAAGAGTGAAATGAGTGGAGAGAAAGGGAATATATGAAAATAGGATGAGTTGTCTGTTTGATTGGATGAAAGTAAACGAACTAAAAATGATTACAGACTAATAAGATGTATAGAAAAGGAGTTAAAGGTATTCAAACACAGATCAAAAGAGAGTCTAAGTCTTTTGAAGCAATCCAACAAGGGAGTGTGATTGCTGTACTCAATACATTAGGCTTTGGTTTTGAATTTAAAAGACCTGAAAGAATAGCAGAAAAGACCATACAGTTTTTAGTTATTACTGAAGTATTTTTTAAAGGTCAACCACTAAGTTTTGGAAAAAAAATTGATAAATATGTTGATGAACAGTTTCAAACAGAAATTGTTGCTGATATGTCTCTTAATCAAATAAAGTCATTAAAAAGAAGAAGAGATTTAAATCGTGCTGCTTTATCATTTAATTGGTTAGTTGAATATCTAGAACAGTTAGGATATACTGTTCAAAGAAGACCAACTAAAAGTGCAAAGAAAACATTACAAATGGAGAAAGTTAGTAAGATATCAGAAAAGAATGGTTATATTATAACTTTAGCAGAAATGCAAACTATTGGAAAAGAAGTTAATTCATATGTAATTTCTCAATTCATTAAATTAGAGAAAACAACAATCTTAAGAGAATATCATCCTTTATGTTTTGATTTATTACATTATTCTAGTCTTAATAAAAATAATTCTATTCATTATTGTTCTTTCTCAAATAATGAAATAAAACACCAACATAATGCTAAAATTGAAAATGAAAACTCTTCTGATACTATTACTTTAGATGAGTGTATTTCAACGCCAAAATCATTGTAAACAATTTTTTTATTATTTTATTATTTGTATGGATTAATCTGCAAAAAAAGCTGACTATAATTATTTTTCATTATTCCGTCTTTTTTTTTGTTTCGTTTTATCAATTTTTATATGAAACAATTGACATGGTTGTAATTAAATCAATGTTACAATAGTGATTCTTCATAAAGATTCTATATTTATTAAAATATCTTCAGACTATTGTTTAATGAATTTAATTTATTTTTAGACAAGATTTTTTTTGAATATAATTCATAATATAAAAACTATAGTTTTAACATTTAAATATTTTCTACTAAAATAATCTCCCAAAAGAGGGTTGGTAAGATAATCTGTTTATAGATATTATTTCTATAAAATGAAAAACTAAGATGATTTTTGACACTAAAAGGGTATTCTCAGAATTTCATGTGTATTATTCCATTATTGGCAAAATCAAATATTGAGTAGTATAGTTGTAATATTATTTTAAGTTTTTTTTATTTTATGAAATAATTTATAAATAAAACAATATAATAAAAAGTACAAAACAATAAGGAAGTATTGTAAAAATTAAATCAGTAAAAGTTTTGATAGAACATTATAATGTTCATTACAAAGGTTTATTAAAAATAATGATATTAGTTAGTTAATGATTAAAATATATATTATTTTCATTTCAAGTTTTGTTATTATCACAATAACCTTTATATATAATTATATGACTAATAAATTATTAAAACAAACACATTTTAAACACTCTTTATTAGAACAAAAACTCTCTAAGATAGAGTCAAAATAAATTCTGAGTATTGGAACATTCCCTATATAACTTTAAATTGAAAAAAAAATAAATATGTCTAAAACATATTCTTTTAGAGGGTTAAATTTTTCATATTTCTAATAAAAATGAATAACATAACATATAATGTATATTCAAATATTGTTTAATGAAACATACTCTCTCAATAAATAATTATAAACACATAATATTTAATATTTTTGATGTTATTTTACCATATTAATAATATTAAAATTTAAATAATTAATAATATATTTTACTTATTTTTATTTAGTACAAGAGAGTATGTATATTGGTTTACATTATGTAACTATTTCAACCACTAATATTTCTATGGTTAGTACAAAAATATAAAAATTATAAAAAATAATCTATAAACGTATTATATTTATTTTGTTATCTTTTTATGACATGGAAAATCTTTATTTATCAACAAATTTGATATTTAAGTTTTCTTCTTATAAAAATTAATTAAACATTTTATCAATCTAAAATGAAATCATTCAAAAATATATTCATTATAATATTTATACAACTATAGACAATTATTGAAATAAATTATATACATTAATATTATTTTATTATACTAGCACAATTTGAAAATGAATATAGCATATATATTTAGTTATATATCAATTTAGTTCAAAGAATGAAAAGCATTAATAATAAATATATGAATAACTTGGTATATATTTATATTCAGATAGTATTGTTAATGAAATTTAACTTAATAACAATTTGTCATGTTGTTTGTGTGATATATATTCAATAGAAATGATATTTAGAAATTATTTCATAAAATAAGTACCATTCTATTAATTCTTATTCAAATTTTATATATTAATGAAATATTGATATATTTTAGTATCATGTTACATTATACTAAAGTAGAAAAACAAACAATCAGTTATATCATTGAAAATGTTTTATATTCTGGGGTTTAGAGGTATCAAAATGAATAAGCGTAATGGATATATTATTTTTATTTTATAACAATAATACATCATATTATGGAAATAACAATTAAATAGTGATAATATTAACATTAAAATGATTATAATGAATTTAAAATAATTCATGATTATTCAATTTATAACTATCCATTTAAATGTATAAAAATAAATTGAGAAAATTAATTCTTATTACTACTTCAACAAACAACTCTCATTGTGATATTTTATGTACTATGAAAATGAAGACATACAGAGAGAAAACAATTGTGTTAAATTTATAAAAACTATTTAATTATATCTCATTTTAAGTCAACACACCTTCATTTGTACTATGAGTTTGACTGTATATACAGAAAAATCTATACAACTATGAGTTTTTTAACTTATGTCTTTGAAAAATACTGTATAAATCCTAGTATCCTAAAAAGAATGTTTGTGATGTAGTGGGAATATACCAACTATTATGAACACCATGTTTATGTATGAACGTCTATGTGATACTAAAAAAATGATTCATAAAACGTGTGTATATTTAAATGTTCAGCTTGTGGTTGAGTTGCTTAGAAGTCATGTTATCGTTTGAGTTGTTTAGTTCAAAGTCATATAGATTTAATGAGTCCAGGTTTGAGTGGAACATGAATTTATGAATCCACACTTTTTGCGGAATGTGAAATTTAATTCAGTCATAGAAAAATTCATTAAAACGAAAAATAAGTTTAAAAAGTCAACAAGAAGACAAAAAATTAAACGTCAAAAAAAGTACAAAAGATATAAATAGAATATCAGATTCACAACCGAAAAGTCAGATTTTTGAAAAGAGTGAAAAAGCAATAAAGCATAATGATTTGAGTTTAGAAGAGAAAAGAAAGACTTAAAGGCATTCTTATTTAAGAAAGAACTTAAATTTAGTAATTATTTGATTGTCAAATGGATATAACTATAACAAAAGCAAAAAGAACAAAAAGTTGGACTGAAAGAATGAAAACAAAAGATAAAACTGTTTTAGGAGAAATATTAAATCTTATTATAAGAGGAGAAAAAGATATTGATAAAATTGTTGTTAAATGTAATGTTCTTGAATGGTCTTATATTCACATAGAATTATGGAAAGACAATGAACTAGAATTAATTTTATCAATTACCTCATCATTAATTGTTGATGATGTTTTTAAAGAATATTTAGCACAATGTTCATTCATTAAGTGTGTGAATTATTTGATGAAAAAAACAAACGAAGAAATAAAACAACGAGTGGTAATGATATTAAATCTATGTTTAGTTAATGATACTTTTAGGAAGAAATGTATTGAATCAAATATTCAGAAAATAATAGTACATTCTTTTAAAAGAGAATCAACTCATTTTTATTATCAAAATGTTTCATATTTCTGTAAATTGTATTTACTAAAGAAAGAATATTTATCTGATAACCAAATAAATGACATTCGTAGGTTTTATATACATGCTATTTGTTCTAAATCCACACCTATTATCTTAGATGGTTTAAATTGTTTTTATTATTTTGCAACAACAATGTTCTTTACCCTTTCACCAACAACAGAATTTCTTCACAGACTATCTGAATTAGTTCATCATAAGAATTCAAGTTTGTCAAGACTAGCATCTAACTTTGCAAGTTTTTATCAAATAGAGTGATGATCTGTTAAATAATGAATAATAATTGTTTTTAGAAAATTTTTTCTTTTTGTTTAAGTTTGATAAAATTAAAAAAAACTTAAAACCTATTCAGATGTCAAGAGTATTAAAGAAAACAAAGAAAGAACAAGAAACTAAGCCTGCTCTATTTAAACAAGATAAGTCTGAATTTAACAAAATTTATAATGAAGTTAAAAGAATTGCTCGAGAACATTCAAAAGGAGTTGCTAAAATTCAATTAGATAATGATTTTAGAAAACGACTTGGGTTAAAACCTAAAACAATTAAACAACCATATAATATCCTTCTTCGTACAAAAGCAAAAGAAAAAAAAGAACGAGAATTAAATGCAAAGAAAGTTAGAGAAGAAGAACTTGTTATTGCACCTGGATTTTTACCACAAAAAAAAGAGAAAAAGAAAAGAGAACAAACATTAAAATTAACACAAGGAGAATTTGATGGTGGTATTTTAAAATTTGATATTAACAAAGATAATGCATTAAACTTTGATGAATGGGGAAAGTATGGTAAAGATAAAAAGAAAGGAAATAAAACATTTGGAAATTCTTCATTTAAGAAAAAAGGAAATAAAAAACATAAAAAAAGATAGAAATAAATTGATTGAATAAATTTAATTCAGTAATGTTATTTAAGAATGATTTCAAATAAAAGTATATTTAAAGGTTGTTTCTATTATCTTTAAAGTCTTGAATAATTTTGAATAGCCCATCAGAAGCATGAGAATTATCTTGTTTATTTAACAATAACCTTAAATGACCTCTAAAATCAGTTGTTATACCATTTTTCATTGGTTCACATTGCATGATATACCAACCATTTGATGTATAAGTCATTCCTATTTTAAATCGATTACCATTTATCATAGTAAATATTAATTCAACACTTAATGACTTTTCTCCAGTTGGTTTTAATGAAAAGTCAAAATAAAATCCATTCATTTGTTTTTTGCTTTCCTATAGTAATAAGTTATTATAAGTTAAAAAATAAATATTAAAAAATACAACAAACTAAATAGGTTCTAGGTAATATTGAAATTTCATTTGAAAAATCAAATCTTGATATAGTAATAAAAGTACTAATATACAACGCCGCAGCAGAAATTGAATTTGAATTGAAAGGAACAGTAAATCTATCATTAAAATATTCTGCAAATATTCTTGAATTTTCACTTGCTGATTCTGATTGTTTTAAAGTAATTACTGGGCTAAATCCATCAAGTCTTAATGGACTTGAAACAATAAAATGTTCTAATTTAAAACAATTATTTTGATCAACAACAGAAGCTGGTGAAGTGGTTAATAATGATGCTAATATAGAAAGATGACTAATTGCATGAACTAAAGATAATTTATTTGGTAATTCTTTAGATGTAAAATATTCATCTTGTTTTGGAAGAGAACGTTCAATTGTTCGATCAAAAACACATTTGAAAGGTTTACAACATACTTGTAATTGATTATCAAAATGATGTATGAATCTATAGAATGAAGGATAACGATGAGAAGAATTATCACATTGATAAGTAAATACAAAAAAGTTATAAATATCCAATTGATATTCTGTTTTAAGAGTCATAGGATGATTAACAA